GCGCTGGCCTGGGCGACCCTGTGAGGTGCCTGGGTTGCCGCTGTTCTTGCTTCTCGGTCTCCCGCGGGCGCCATGGAGGAGGAGGAGGAGGAAGCGCGGGGGCTGCTGGCCGACGGCCCCGACGAGGCCGGGAGAGATGGCCCCGCCGTCGCCGGGGCGCTGCCCGCGCTCTGCGACCCCAGGCGCCTGGCGCACCGGCTTCTGGTGCTGCTGCTGATGTGCTTCCTCGGCTTCGGTGAGCTGCCCGGCCGGGTCGGGCGGGGCGGACCATCAGGAAAACCGCGACCGTCCCCCTCGGAGCCCTGAGATCCGCTCACACCGGGGCCACCGGGCCTCCGCACAGCCGCTGGGTCAGCGACTGGGCCCGCGCCTGGGCCCCCCTTCCCTTCCCCTTGGCGCCCCTTCCCTTCCCCTTGGCGCCCCCATTCAAATCCTTGGCGTCCGGAGGCGGGGTCAGGGGCTGCGCCGGGCGAGCGGTGTCCCTCGCTACTCCTGGGCTCCCAGCATCTCACTCCCGCGCCGCAGACCAAAGGAATCTCTGGGCCAAGTGCCCTCTCCTGGCGCCTTGTGCAGAAAGTTTGAACTGCCTCTCTGCCCTCCGCAGGGGAAAGACTTTTTAAAAATCAGTAATTCCGTGGGTAGCGTCATATTTCCTCTCCCGCTTTTGGGACTTGAGGGTGGCTCGCTGGCGGCGTCAGCGAGTAGCTGTGTCCTTCCTCTCCGCCCGGCCACTGCGCAGCCCCGTGCTGGGTTGGGCTTGCGGTCTTGGTTGGTCGCACTTAGGCAATCTCAAGGCAGTTTTTTGAGATAATTTTTGAAACACCTTCCCGTGTTCCAGCAGCTAACTTATTCAGCAACTTTTGAATGTCAATATTCGTTTGGTATGGAAGTCACAGTGTGTTTTCAGGGCGCCCCCCACCCCCCAAGTCGGTGTAATCAACAAGTGTTGGAGCCTTGTAGCGGCGGGTGACTTGGTGCTCCTGCTGCGACACCTAAGCGGGCGTGGAGGATGCTCTGGGCTTTGGTTTCTTTGCCAGTCTTTTTGAGCCCTCTCTTCCTCCATCCTTTTAAAAAAATTAATTTGTTGTTCCAGCTATCCACACATTCATTGGTTGCTTCTGGCAAATGCCCTGACCAGAGATCCAACCCGCAACCTTGTGAGCAACGTGGCCAGTCCCTTTTTGGAAAGAGATGCCCATCCATTAACTTTAAATCATGATACCGGTACCCCTTCCAAGGGCGATTAAAGCAGGAACCACAAGTTGCTGGTTTAGGAACAAAAAAGAACAACACAAAACACTTACAATGATCTCTTTTGAAGTAGACAGGTCACTTTTGGCAAATTATGGCTATTTGCCTGGGTTTCAGAAGTCAGATTCATACTCTTCTAATGACAATTTCCCCCCTTCTTGAATCTGTACTTTCTAATATGTACTTTTAGAGAGAGTGGGGAAGTGGAGGCAGTATTATCTTGAAGCCTACGATAAATCTGTCAATTGTAGTACTTTAGGAATAAAGCCCAGTGAATGAATGTCAAACCTCTCTCCACTCTATTATCTGTCAACAGATATTTTTATGTCTTTAATCCTTTAGAACTCTCTTTTATTTTTCTTCACTCCTGGCACTGTGTTTGCTAAGTTATTATATTTGGAGCAGTCTGTTAATAGAATTAGAGCGCTTGTTTCAAATATTAGTCAGAGTAGTTAAACTCCATTCCTCTGCTCTCAAGGTAAATAGTGATCTCAGGTAACGTTACCAGGAAACTGCTGACAAAGTTTGAGAAAGTTTTAGTGTGTGTGTTTTCATAATTTTAAATAAGGAAAATGTAGTGCTTTATGAAGATGCCAAGAAAGTAATAGATATATGAAGCATCATGAAAATAAAATGGAAGAACAATTAGTTGTTAACTTCATGGTTCAGGTCCCCAATACTTGCTGTATACCAGTGGTTCCCAATGTGGGGCACACACCCCACAGGGGGGCAATTTGATTTTTAAGGGGGACAATTCGAGAATGAGTTACTAACAGTAAATTTTTTGCATTTCTTAAGGTTCTAGGGGCCTCACATACAATATCCTATATAATAAAAGCCTAATATGCTAAGTGTGCTGTTGACAGGTCAGCCATTCAACCAATCAAAGCATAATATGCTAATGATATGCTAAGGCCACTCAACTGCTCGCTATGGCATGCACTGACCACTAGGGGGCAGTCAACTGGTTGACTGGTCAACCAGTTGCTATGATGTGCACTGACCATCAGGGCAGATGCTCCAACCAGTAGGTTAGCTTGCTGCTGGGGTCCGGCTGATCAGGACTGAGCGAGAAGGGCCAGACATGCCCTGGAGCACCCTTACGGCCCCTCCCCGGCTAGCCAACCTCCTGCATCTCTCCCCAGCTTCGATCGTGCACCAGTGGGATCCCTCGGCCTGGCCTGCGCCCTCTCGCAAGCCGGGACCCCTCAGGGGATGTCAGAGAGCTGGTTTCGGCCCAATCCCACAGGGAGAGCACTGCTCAGCCAGAAGCTGGGCTCATAGCTAGCTAGCGCAATGGTGGTGGCAGGAGCCTTTCTCACCTCCACAGCCGCGCTAAGGATGTTCGACTGGTGGCTTAAGCCCACTCCCCCTGAACAGTCCTAAGCCATCAGTCAGACATCTCCCGAGGGATCCCAGACTGTGAGAGGGTGCAGGCTGAGCTGAGGGACACGCACCCCCCCCCCAACCGAGTGCACGGATTTCGTGCACTGGGCCTCTAGTATAAATTTATTGTGACATATATATGTATTTCAGTTCTCTATTATATGTTTTGAGACTTTATTTGCTATTTTTTCATATCAATTCATATGGTGGTTGTTATTATTTTTAACAATTTCTTAGTGATTTCTTCCTCAGTACTTCAACTGTCCTTTTGTTCTTTTAATTTTCTCTTTCATGGATGCCATGTTCTTTGGGAGCCTGTTTAGACCAAGTTAATTGCCTTTTAGGCTTCCTCCCTGTGAATAGGAGTTCACTTTTTGAATAATAAGAATTCTATGTTGCCAAGACCGGTTTGGCTCAGTGGATAGAGCGTCGGCCTGCGGACTGAAGGGTCCCGGGTTCGATTCCAGTCTAGGGCATGTACTTGGGTTGCGGGCACATCCCCGGTGGGGGGTGTGCAGGAGGCAGCTGATCGATGTTTCTCTCTCATCAAAGTTTCTAGCTCTCTATCTCTCTCCCTTCCTCTCTGTAAAAAATCAATAAAATATATTAAAAAAAAAGAGAATTCTATGTTAAGGGGGAAGGGGAACATCAGGATTTTAGAGATACTTAGGTGGGGCATGGCCACAAAAAGGTTGGGAACCACTGCTGTATATGCTGGCTAATAATTTGTAAGTGATTTGACATGTGTTCTCTGGATTCTTTGGCTACAGCTTAGGAAATAATGATGGGCAGGGAATAGGTTCAAAAAAGTTTCCATAGTGTCAGTCCTTGAACCTCAAGTATAAACATTTAAAAATCACCATTTGAGTAGTAATTACAAGTTGAAACTCTTATGTGGATAATATTTGTACTTAGAAAATATTTGTTCTTTCTTTTTTTCTAGGCAGCTATTTTTGCTATGATAATCCGGCTGCCCTTCAGACTCAGGTTAAACGGGTAAGTTGATTTCTCACCTTTGTTTGCTTTAGGGAAGGTGTATTTGTTGAGGCTTCATTAGCTCTCAGGTTGCCTAGTCTGCAACAGTCTCCAGTGAGTCCATTTTAATATCTGTAGTCACCAAGGAGTGTTTGTGAGTTGGAATGAGTGGCCACAAAATTCGTTTATAGCACTCATTTGTAACTTGATATGATTTCACACTCAGATAAATAGTTATGTGCTATTTCCTCAGTATTACCGCAAGTATTAGGAGACTTTTGTTTGCCTTTCACTCTCTCTTTGGTAATCACCAGAATGACAAATGATTTGCTAGTATGTTTTGTTGTTATTTTGTTTTTAAAATGTGGATACTGATTGCAGAGGATTGTCCACGTTGGTTTTGTAAAAATGAATTTGATAGTTCCAATTTCTTGTGCATTTTGATAGTCTCTTTTCTTTGTCTTTGGACAGGGAGAAATGCATAGATTGGCCCTTCACATTCTAGAATGAAAGGGAAAGAAGGTACGAGTTAGTAGCGGGAGGTTAAGATTATTTTTTCCTTGTGGTGGGGAGCCCCAGGGCAGTTAGTATAGGGCAAAGAGAAGATAGATATTTGGGCAGATGCAGACAGAGGTGGACTCCATAGTGGGGGATCTGAAATGGCATGCTGACCCAAGAAGGTCCCAGATGTGACCTTTTTCTCAGGCAGAGGCCATAGCTACCATGAGAAACCAAAGCAGTTAAGTGACTTCCTGCCTTACACAGAAAAAAAATAGTTTCAATTTGTTAGTTACTCATTTTAACTATTTGGAAAAAATAGTTTGTTGTTTTTTTTTTTTCTCCATATAGGATATGCAGGTGAATACCACGAAATTCATGCTGCTGTATGCCTGGTATTCTTGGCCCAATGTAGTTTTGTGTTTCCTGGGTGGCTTTTTGATAGACCGAGTATTTGGAATACGGTAAGCTTGAAAAAAATATTTCACCTATGGCAAAAATCTGATTATTAGGAAAACACAAAACTAAATTAAATTTCTAGAAAGAACTGAATAAGATTCTGTATTGCCGTGATAATCTGCTTTAGTGTTTATTTAAAGATATTTTTATGTCTCTGGAATTGGTTTTTGAAAGTAGGCTGGTATTTCAGTTAAGGTTGGGGCTCATGAAATAAGATAACTCAGGTATGCCCCCATTTGGGATCAGGCAGGCCACGGTCCAAATCCCATTACTGCCACTTGCTCAGTTTCCAACTCTTCGGAGCTGTTCCTGGCTTTCTGAGCTCCAGTTTCCTTACTGGTAGGATATGGATAATAATTCCTGCCTTGCAAGGTGGTTATGAGGATTGAGAGGGATGTACAGTAGCCAGCACATATGTAGTATTTGCCTCTCCCTATTGAGACTTGCCCTTTCTGCTGTTCTTAGGGTTGAACTTTGTGACCACTCCTATTAGATACTGAGGAAGGAATCACACTATAAGCTTTGTTACTTTTCATTTTTATGATTATAGGTGTGTTGTTAGTGGAGGCTTTAAGAGGGGTGTAGACTGGGAATATTTTTAGGAGACAGAGGGCAAAATGATGAAGAGTCTCCCAACTATGTCTGGTGGAAAAGAATTGAAGAAACTGAGTGTTTAGACTTGGGGACTAACTTTAAAACATTTTGAAGAGTTAGGGTATAAAGGAAGAATTACATTTATTTTGCTTGATCTAAAAGGATAGAATTAGCTGGAAACTGCAGGAGGATAGATTCCACTTCGTATGTTACAGACCTTGCTCACTTAGGTTGACAGGATAGGAAGGGTCATGAATTGCCTTGGGGCCAGAGTGGGTTTTCCAGTGCTGAGTGCGGTGTGGCCATTTCACCAGGCGGAGAGAGGGCTTGAGTTTTGGAAGGACGTTTACTCCTGTGCTTCTTAAGGCTCTTCTAACACAGGCATGTTATTACTCTGGGGAAACATTAATCAGACGTTCCAAGTGTAGAATCTTTGAGTGAACTGTATTAACATGGTTGATATTTGTCCTTTTAAAAAGAGAGGGGTCAAAGAAAATATGACTGAAAGATGTGGTGACTGACATACTTTTAATTCATATTCTCTCCCAACAGATGGGGCACCATTATTTTTAGCTGCTTTGTTTGCATTGGACAGGTAAGGAGGGCGAAAACATTCATTGAGTAAGTGATAGTGACGTGAATTCTTTTATAATTCCGGCAAAGATGTCTTTAATGAATGCCTAACTGAATTAAGCAAGGCCCACAAATGCCCATATAGTAAAAGGCATAATTCATTTTAAGGCTTGAGACAGATGAACATTAATGTTGTTTTTTTTTTTTAAAATATTTTATTGATTTGTTTACAGAAAGGAAGGAAGAGGAATAGAGAGTTAGAAACATCAATCAGCTGCCTTTTGCACATCCCCTACTTGGGATGTGCCTGCAACCAAGGTACATGCCCTTGACCGGAATTGAACCTGGGACCCTTCAGTCCGCAGGCCGATGCTCTATCCATTAAGCCAAACTGTTTAGGGCCATGGTCGGAACTGTGGCT